CATTATCGGATCATCATTGAAAAGGCATACAGAACTCTTGGCTTCATAATTCGTAGGTAATTCAAATTTTTTTAAAGATTTGAAACTCTAATATCATTATACACTGATAACACCTCACTTGGAGTATGCCTATATTATATGGGCAACACAAACCGAATTCAATGTTGATCTGATTGATATGGTTCAAAAACGATTCTTGAGGTTTCTTTATGTCAGAAAGTTTGGTATCTATCCATACATACAAAGTTCAGCGACTGGATAATAGAAGAAATTTTCATTCAGCTGTTTTTATTATTGCTATTATCAGACCCATAGCATATTTATTATAGCTGTTATCAGACCCATTATCAGACCGAGTAATGCTAATTCAATTAGCTGCATTCCGAGTGGATATAAATATAATACAACTATACGCACCTACTGCGGACAAAGAAGATGCCGTGATTGAAACATTTTACCAACTTATGTCGGAAGCATTAGCTATGACAAAAAAAACATGACCTTACTCTTATCATGGGGGACTTCAATGCAAAAGTGGGATCAGAAAGTACTCTCAATATTACTGGAAAGTTCGGTCTAGGAAAACGCAATGATAGAGGAGAACGTTTGGTGCAGTTCTGCCAAGAGAAAAAATTTGTAATTATGAATACATGGTTTTGTCTACCAAAACGTAGACTATATACTTGGAAGTCTTTAAGCGATCGAGGAGACAATATAGTAAGAAATCAAATTGATTATACAACAGTCAATGAACGATTTAGAAACTGCATAAAATCGGTCAAGACTAACCCAGGTGCCGATATTCGGTCAGACCATACTCTACTGTGCTCGACAATCACAGTTAAGCTAAAGAGTGTCTGTAAAAATCAGAAAACCTCCAAAATATCACTAGATGCACTTCAAGACCCATGCACTCTAAATAAGGTTTCTCAAGAAATTAACGGCAAGTTCCAAGAAATTAGACTAGAAGATACCAACAACATAGATGATTGCTGGAAACAAATGAAAACGACAATAATCACTGCATCTCGAGAAAATCTTCTAAGACGACCAATAGTTAAAAATGACTGGATGACGCAAGACATCTTAGATCTAATGGACGTTCGGAGGCAGTATAAATCCATAAACAGAGAAAAATCACAATGAAATACATAAAGAAATCCGAAAAAGAATTAAAGTAGCAAAATACCGATGGCTACAAGACTACTGTTTAGAAATTGAGAAACTGGAGCGACAACACGACAGTTTCCATTTGCATAAAAAACTAAAAGAATTAACAGGTAAAAGCAGAACTTATGGGCAAAATATATTACAAGACTCTGGTGGTAAAATTTTAAGTGATATTAAAGAGCGCTGTACCGAATGGGAAAATTACTTATTCCTATGGGAAAATAGACTTATTTAACGATGACCAAAGAATCTACCAAAAAATAACATACAGGCCCACCGTTTCTAATCTCAGAAGTTCAGAAGGTTATCGACCAAGCCAAACGAAGGAAGGCGTCTGGTCCTGACGAAATACCTGCAGAATTATTAAAACTATTAGATAATGAGAGTGTTGCGATTATCACATCCTTCTTTAATCAGATATACAGCAGCGGCAAACTACCAAACAACTGGTTAGAATCGATATTTATAACTATTCCCAAGAAAAACAATGTCAAACAGTGTAGCGACTATCGACTTCAAATTTAATGAGTCACACGCTCAAAATTGTTATGAAAATATTGCATTGTCGCATATATAAACTTTGTGAGGAGATAACTGGTTATGAGCAGTTTGGTTTCCGAAACGGTATGGGTACTCGAGAAGCTCTTTTTTGCATGCGAATACTCTTACAAAAGAGCATTGAGTTTAAGAAAAATATTTACGTATGTTTTATAGATTTCGAAAAAGCCTTTGATAGAGTACCACATATATTATTATTTAAATGCTTAGACTCAGTTGGTCTGGACACGTATGACATTAGATTGCTCAAAAATCTTTACTACAATCAGACCGCCTGTATTAAGGTGGATCAAGAGGTTTCAGCTAAAGTTTCTATTAAGCGTGGTGTCAGACAGTAGTGTGTTACGTCACCGATGTTGTTTAATGCCTACACTGAACCAGTTTTTCAAATAGCGTTAAATAATCGTCGCGAAGGTGTTAAAATCGGTGGTGAAATTATTAATAACATCAGATACGCCCATGATACCGCAATATTGGCAGAGAGTTTAGAAGATCTTCAAACCCTGTTGAATGCTGTAAATAATGAATGCACTGAAAAGGGCTTAACAATCAACGCAAAAAAAAAACAAAATGGATGGTGGTCGGAAAAATTAATATTGAAGACTCAGTACTAAGATTAGATAACAAAATCCTGGAAAGGGTGGAACACTTTAGATATCTGGGTAGCTGGATTGACTGCAGGGTTGAAAAAGACGAAGAAATTTCGACCAGAATAGAACTCGCATGGAAAAACTTTATTAACTGGCGTTCTGTATTATGCAGTAGAAGTCTGTCGTTAACCACACGTCTAAGAGTATTGAAGTCCACGTCTGGACCACTTTGTTCTATGGATGTGAAACCTTGACAACAAAAATAAACAATCTTAACAAATTAGAAGCATTTGAGTTATGGTGTTACCGTCGTATGCTCAGAATTCCGTGGACAGCACACATATCCAACGAACGTGTGCTAGAGACCGTGCACAAAGAGCGAGAATTGATCAATATCATCAAAATGAGAAAGGTCCAATACTTCGGTCATATAATGAGAGGACCTAAATATCGCTTACTTTGGTTAATCATTCAGGGCAAAATCGAAGGAAAACGTTGGGTCGAAAGAAAACAACTGTCCTGGCTGCGTAACATTAGACAATGGACAGGTCGAACAGTCGAGGAACTGTTTCATCTAGCTGCTGACCGAAAATCATTTCATCAGCTTGTTAATATGACGATAGCCAACGCTTGAATACAAGCACGGTACACAAAGAAGAAGAAGTTTTTATGTACTGCGTTATAAATCACGTTAAATATAAAGATGGCTTTTTTATAAATAATATTAAATTTAATGTTCCAAAAACACATCTAAGAATTAATAACAAACGACTGTTCACAACTAATAAGACTGATTGTTCACCCATACATGAGATGTTAGAAGAACGTACCTAACCATGTGATAATTAACTGTGATGTAGACTTTTTAAATTCTTCTGTGAAACAAATAAAAGTTGCTTTTGAAACAAATTTCTAGTCTGCAAAAATATTTCATTCTGTCTAGGTTTAGTTTGTAATATTAGTTTATGTCTAGGTTCAGTTATTAGGTTTGAGCAGTAGTAAGCACTCTTTTAATGTAATAATAATCATTTTGTGTTTTAAAGGAAATAAAAATAAATAGACATTAAAAAAAACAATTCCTTTTTTTGCTTCTTCTAGATTAGCGTTTCTTAATTTTTTTGATAAGTAGAACTTGTTTTAGTAGTCACATTTATTGATAATATTGTTTCAATATTATCTATGCTTTAATGTAACATTCTGTAAATAGATTATATGCAACAAAAATGACAATCATTTCAAAATATATTTATTTTCTTAAAGTAATTGAAAATTAACAAAAACATTTTTAAAACAATTTAAAATTACATTGATAAGACTTTTAAATTTTAATTTTAATGGGATGAGTAATGCTTTTATTATCACAAATGTACTTAATATTAGGCTTAAATTCATGAAAGTTAAATTCGTATGTCAGATGCGGCATCAAGTCTGTTTCGGTATTTAATTTTTGTCGACAAATAAGCTGAGAACCCCGTTTCGCACATAATGTGGTTACAAATGGTAAATGCTTCAACACGACTTTTTGCGACAATTAAGGATATTTATCTTTTATACAGGACCAGAATTCCGTTAATGACATTAATTTAAATTTATTTTGCAATGATGAATCAGATGTCCTGGTCGAAGGTCATGAGTTGAAAATAAATGGGTTTTTAATCCACAATTCATTTTGATATTTAATCTGCTGTTCATACAGCAGATTAAAACTTAATCATAAAACTTTCACTCAATCCTTCCAGAGGTTAATTAATTTCTTCAATAAATACCTCTGTCATTTCAACCCCTTCTTCTTCTAAAAGGCCTTTTATTGTTAGAAAACAATCAAACCCGTTGGAGCGCAAACAATATTTCCAAAATTCTATTATTTTCTTGAAAGCAAGAATTTTGTGTGGGTAATAAATACATTTACTGCTTTTCATTGCAGTTCAGTTCATTTTTCTTTGTTAAATACGCCATTTTAAGTAACCAATTTTTATCAAATTGTCGATCTCTTAATTCAAAATTGTGTTCTTAAAAAGCACTTCACTCAAGCAAATGGGTTAATCTCTTTTCTCAAAATAACCATTGTGACCATCATTTAACCATCAAGTTTGCAACATCCATCATTTTTCAGTGTTGAATCATCATTGTTAAGCGTCGATTACTTTTTGGCAGCAAAAATAGCTTTAGACTGAACAGTGCATCTTTCGTACCAACACCTTTCGTGAATATAAACTGTGTCCTATATTGTATAATTTTAAGAAAACGTTTTAATGGATGTCTTTTTAGCCTATACTCTCCGCACTTTTTCGCTGCCTGTTTCTTTGGTAATGTAATAAATTCTAAAACTAGCCAATCTTTTGGAATATCGCCTGTGTCATAGGTATACTATTAAAGATTTTACATAGATTTTACAAAAAAGTTTAAGAAATTCAGATTGTACTCTGTCTGGTTCTGGTGAATTCCCTTCTTTTAGCAATATTATGACTGCCCTTATTTCTGCCACTAGTATATATAGTTTGGTTTCCATTAGTATTAGGGTCCCCACTTTGTAAAATTTCGATTTATTGGCATTTTTTTCAGTTCGTTCTTTTTGGCTTCTCTGAACTGTCTCTACATCTCAAGTTATGATTCTTTATGCCTGGCATTATTGCTCTTGTTTTTCCTTCTTTTTTCCATTAGCTGCAGAATCTCTGTCATAATTCATGTCTTGTTTTTACTGTCTTCGTTCTTTATGTCGCTGACTGTTTCTTTTGCTTCGCTACATTTCAGTTTTCTGATGTCGTACACATTTAATCTAAGATTATTAATTTTTTTAACTCAGATTAAAAAGATATAATTATTATAAAATAAAAATATACAATATAATTAAACATGACATAAATAATTAGAATTATAAAGTAAATGAATTCCAGTTACACTTACTGAACGGTAGCAACCTCATCTGAGAAATTCAAGAGCTCGGAAATATATTTCTTGAGAATTGTCAAGGCATAATGTGGATATAAATCATTGCTAAATGCCTCTTGTAATTATACAGCAACCGCTAATTATTATTCCAACATAATGAAACCGCAATGTATGTTAGGTTATTCTGATTAATCTCTAAATAGCGTGAATAGTTTAAGTAGTATTCTTTCGATAGTGGCTTCTGTTTCATACATAAACGGCGGAGGTCATAATATATATATATATATATATATATATATATATATATATATATATATATATATATATATATATTGTTATGATATGTAAAATCGAGAAAAGTATTGGTTTGCTTAAAATATTTCAAAGTTCAAAAACATTAAAATAATTCAGATAAGTCAAATAATGAACAACAAACATTTCGAAGAAGGAAAGTCTTTAAATTTTTGGATTACCTGTATTGAACAAAACGTAAGATATGCATAAATTATTTTCTTTGTTCTAATATACTTGAGTGACCCGCATAATTTTAAGTGAAATCCATAGACAATTGAAGCGGTTTTTCCAAATAAATGTTGTGCAGTAATTACGACAATAGAATAGATTTTAGAAAGATATGTTTTTGTTAGTTCTTAGGAATTGGTAGGAAAAGATTATTTTGTAAAATAGTTTTAGGAAATTTTATAATTGTAGGTAAAAATTTGTGTGTTATCGAAATAAAGAAATGCTAGATGTATGAAGCGTTTTGATTGGATGAGATTGAAAAAGGTGGGATGATTGGTTTAAGAATAAGACTTTAGTTAGTTTTTGAAATAGAAAAGATAGTCAGTTGGTTTCCAAGGGTGCAAGGCGAACGGCCGTTGTTCTCGGGTAGTTTCCCAGAGGTAGGAAGCAGTAGCAGTGAAAGTTTGTGAGTTTTCGTTTAGTTAGTGTATCTGACAGAAGCTGATCCAGTAAAAGATTGTAAGTTATATTTTCTACTTATATTCCAAGAGTCACTGTTCAGGCCAACGAGAGATTCAGTTTATCATAAAGAAAAGATATTCCAAGAGTCATTTTTCACTCAGGCCAACGAGAGATTCAGTTTATTGAGAGAAGAAGAAGCTAGCATAATTTGAACGATTCGTGCATTTGAAGGAGATCATTATGGACGATAAACTTGCAATAATTTGTTGTAAGGTTGCTGATTACCTAGGGAGCGGCTACGAGTAAATAGTATAGTCTACAAGGAACAAGGATTTGGACCACTCATCATCAGAGAGAGATAGTTTTGTTTTCTGCAGTTTATTTTTTATTGATAACACAATTTTTACACTTAATTTAGAAAGGATATAAATATTTTGATTAGGAGATTTAGAATAATATTTGGATTTTGAGATTTCAACTAATATTGTTTGTACCAGTAATTTTGAAGGTTCACGTACGTAGAACAAAATTTTGAGAATCATTATAGGAGATTTTGTTTTATTGAAAACATTTGAGTGTGAATTTTATTTCATTATTTTTACTTCAATATATAACGTTAGATTCTATATGTTTTTTATTATTCCAGTATCCTTTGGACCTTACCTTTCACATGTAAAGCATAGATATTGAAGCACGAATTTAACCCTGAGATAAGAGAATTAAAAAGTGTGATAGAGTCATACTCATATCATTTAAATAATTTTAATTAATTAATTAATTAATTAATATAATATCACTAAACAACTAGCCAATAAAAGATATACTACCCACCAACCAATTGTAAAAAGTGCTACAGGTGAAGATATTACAACGCCACAGGAACAAGTCAAAAGATGGCATGAATATTTTAGCGAATCTCTAAGTGCAGTCCCAACACCACCAGAAGACGCAGAAAACCTAATACCCAATATCCAACTGAGAATTAACACCAACGAACCAACAACGCAAGAAATAGAAATGGCCATAGAAAAACTGAAAGCACACAAAGCAGCCGGCCCTGACAATATTCCACCAGAGTTGTTAAAAGCTTGCCCAGGTACAGTGGCAGAGCTAATCCAACCACTCTTGAAAAGGGCTTGGAGAGAGGAAAAGTTCCCCAAAGAATGGAAAACGGGATTAATAATAAAGATACCAAAAAAGGGCGACAGAAGATATTGCGAAAACTGGAGAGGAATCACACTTCTGAATACTATAAATAAATTAACAGCAATAATTATAAACAACCGACTAACAAAGAGTGTAGAACCAATGTTGAGGAAGGAACAAGCCGGTTTCAGACCAAACAGATCATGCGTGGACCAAATTAACACACTAAGAATAATTGTAGAACAGTCACAGGAATTCAACTCTCCTCTCTTTGTGTGCTTTGTGGACTTCAAGAGAGCTTTTGACACGCTCACACATACGGCCATATGGAAAGCACTGCAGGAAATAGGAATACCAGAAAAAATAGTAAATCTCATCAAAGAACTCTACAGTGACACAGAAAGCAAAATCCTACACAACGGCATAACATCTGACCCAATAGCTATGCTAAACGGAGTAAAGCAGGGCTGTGTTTTATCCCCTATACTATTTAACATTGTACTGGACTCCGTACTAACAAAGGTAAACTCTAATAGAGGAATTTACTGGGGATTAACAAACAGACTGGAAGACCTAGATTACGCTGATGATATATGCCTCCTAGCACATACAAAACAGGACATGCAACTCCAAGTAAACAAAGTACAAGAAGAATCAAAGAAGGTTGGTCTAGAAATAAACACCAACAAAACCAAAGAAATGCGATTTGGTACCAGAAACAACCAACCTATTATGATCAACGACCAGAAAATTGAGAGAGTAGCGGAATTTGTATATCTGGGCAGCATAATTGACTGTAATGGGGGTACAGAGCGTGATGTACATGAAAGAATAAATAAGGCTCGCAACGCCTACAACATGCTTAACAACATATGGAAATCCAGGATTTACCCAACTAAAACTAAACTAAAAATCTTCAACACAAATGTAAAAGCTGTATTACTGTATGGCTGCGAAACGTGGAAGATATCAGCACCCATAGTACACCAATTACAAGTTTTCATTAATAGAGCGTTACGAAAAATCCTTCGTATATTTTGGCCTAACCGAATCTCCAATGAAAATTTATGGAACCAAAGCAACCAAGAAAATGTCATAAAGCAAATAAGGCGAAGAAAATGGAGATGGCTGGGCCACACACTCCGTAGACCGCCAAATGACATTGCCAGGACAGCACTGGATTGGAATCCCCAAGGCCGACGGAAAGTAGGCAGACCTAAGGGAACTTGGAGAAGGACAGTACTGGACGAAGGGAGAACAATGGGAAAATCCTGGCTTGAAATCAAAGCACTAGCCAGAAATAGAGTTCGCTGGAGACACTTTGTGGAAGCCCTATGTTCCTCTTAGGAATCTTGGGACTATATATATATAATTAATTAATTGCTTGGCGCACCAAGACTTTCAATATCACAATATATATATATATATATATATATATATATATATATATATATATATATATATATATATATATATATATATCGTCGCCTCAACGCAACAGTAGAATATGTAAAAAAAATGACTTTTGTGATATTCATGTTAAATGATTCGAAATAAACCCTTCTGTTGAGTGTAACATTAGGATAAATAAAAAGTGATATATTTTTTCATAATATTACTTATCCATGTGTAGCTTAATTCCTTTAAGCCCAAATTTTATAATGCAACACTAAGACAACATACATATCTACAAACATATGTATTTTGTCTCTTATCTCAGGGTTATTCGTCCAAAGAATACCGGAATAATAAAAAAACATATCTGATACAACATTATATATTGAAATAAAAATATATTGAAATAAATTCACACTCAAATATCTTCAATAAAAATATCTCATATAAGGATTATCAAAATTTTGTTCTACGTACGTGAACCTTCAAAAATAATGGTACATACAATACATATTAAAATTTTAAATCAAAATTGTTGTTCTATATCTCCTGATTAAAATATTCCTATCTTTTCTAAAGCAATTGTAAAATTGTGTTGTTAATAAAGAAAAACTGATGAATAGTAAAACTATCTCTCTGATGATGAGTTGTCCAAATCCTTGTTCCTTGTAGCCTACACTATCTATTCTTAGCAGTCCCCTAGGTAATCAGCAATCTCTTTCAAATGCACGTGTCGTTCAAATTATGCTCGCCTCTTCTCCTCTCGATAAACTAAATCTCTCTTTCTGGCCTGAACAGTGACTCTTCAAATATAAGTAGAGAAATATACCTTACAATATTTTACTGGATCAGCTTCTTTCAGATACACTAACTCCACGAATCTCACAAACATTCACTTCTGCTGCTTCCTACCTCTGGGGAACCACCAGATAACAACGACTATTCGCCTTGTACCTTTGGAAACCAACTGATTATCTTTTCTTCCTCAAAAATCTAGCTAAACTTTCCTTCCTACATACCTATCCCACTTTTTTCAATCTCTTCCAATCAAACCTCGTCACAATTCTCCCCATCTCTTCATTTAGATAAAAAAAAAACAATTTTACCTACAAATATAAATTTCCTAAAAACTATTAACATGCTAATCAGTTTCTACAAATTCTTAAGAACTAACGGAGAAATATTTTTTCTAAATATTTCTATTCTATTGTCTTATTCACTGTACAAGTCCATTTGAAAAACCCGCTCGCATTGTTTATGGTTTCACTAATTTCACTCACGTCACTAGAATATATTTTACAAAGGAAATAATTTATACATATCTTTAAAATTTTGTTTACTACAGGTAATCCAGGATAATGTACTGTTATTTCTTTGAAATATCTTTTATAGTTTATTAGTCGAATTATTTGAATTATTATA